TCTTTGTTTTACTATGGTTGCAAATCCAAAAATTCTATATTGGACACCGGCACCCGAGTTAATTAGGGTTTTCCAAAATGCTGACACGCCGAGCTCAAAAGGTTCGCCACCGCTGTCCTTAAGGAGCCACGTTCTGGGTCCTGCACAGCTTTGAAAACAGGGCCCGCCTCCCGGTCTCAGTTTAACTCCACCTTGAGCATCTGCCCCAGTCCAGTCAGAGCGGGGCATTCAGATCGAGCCAAGCCCCGCCCCCCAAGGACCAGCCCACACCTGTGACAGGCGAGCCCCCTCCTCACTGCTGGCGGTGGCCTCAAGTCCAACGCCTCCCTGGGCCGGTGGGCGGGAGCCCTGTGGCTCCTGAGCGAGTCCTCCCAACAACACGGCGGAATGACCCCCCCCCCCCCCGCCTCGCCCCGCACGGCCGGCACCTGGTTCTCGTGGCAGGGCCCCTGGCAGTACTCGGTCAGGCTCTCCAGCGTCTGGTTGATGAGCGCCACGTTCTTCTCGTTGATGTAGAGGCCGAGCAGCCCCAGGCCGCCCGTGGTGCTGCCGCAGATGCAGTCCAGGAACTGCAGCGTCTCGCACACCAGGTTGTAGTTGGTCTTGTTGTTCTGGCAGCGGAGGAAGTTCTGCGAGCAGCAGCGGCCAGGCCGCGGGGCACGGGCGGGGAGAAGAGGGAGAAGGTCACTCACCCGTCGTTTTGGTTTTTTAATTTTTTTATTGATTTCAGAGAGGAGGAGAGAGAGACATCCATGATGAGAGACTTATGGATCGGCTGCCTCCTGCGCGCCCCACACTGGGGATCGAGCCCGCAACTCGGGCGTGTGCTCTAACAGGGAGTCGAACTGTGACCTCCTGGTTCATAGGTCGAGGCTCAACCACTGAGCCACGCGGCCGGGCTCACCCTGCTGTTTTGATAGAACTGGATGGGTCAGTGCCCTGGACGTAGGAACAGTTATGCAGAGATACACAGCGCCCGGGGAACTGAAGGGTCAGCTGAGGATGGTCAGCCGTGGACATGGTCTGTGGCCATGACCATCGACACAGTGGCCGGATCCCTAGGGTGACTTCACAGGGGATGCAGCAGGGGAGGGCTCGTCTCCGACCACCCACCTGAGACCCCCACGGCCTTGCCGAGTTCCCGTTTTTCTCTTTCCCCTCCAGCCCACCCGCCCTCTCACCAGGTGCTAAGCTCACAGCCTCTGACATTTCCAGAAAAGATGAAGGTGGGGTCTGAATGCCGAGTGCCCAGAGCCCTGCGGGGACCTGGGGGTCTGTGTGGGGCGTCCACTGATAAAGGGGGTGAGTGTGAGTGTGTGTGAGTGTGTGTGAGTGTGTGTGTGTGTGTGAGTGTGTGTGTGGAGTATGTGTGTGTGTGAGTGTGAGTGTGTGGAGTGTATGTGTGTGAGTGTATGAGTGTGAGTGTGAGTGTGTGTGGAGTATATGTGTGTGTGTGTGTGTGAGTG